GGAGAAAGAATCATAACAGATGACCAGAATCTGCGAGATAGCCTTCGTCCTTGAGATATGGGTTTCAATTTCTAAAATCCTAGATCTATGCTTCAAGTTGCGCCTCTATCATCTTCACTGCCGCCATCATCCTTCACACCTGAAATTAGTGAAGAAGAAGAATATTAGACAGAGGGAGAAAGATTCAGAAGGAGATTTACAAGAAGAATCATTGTAGGAGAGGTAATGCGATCCACTTAGCTTAAGGTTTTTTTTTGTTTGAATTTGCGATCTTGTGTCTGGTTTTGTGGTTTCTGGATTTCAAAGGGGTTAGGGTTCATCAGGCTAGGGTTGAGGTTCATCAGGCTAGGGTTAGGGTTCATCCGTTTCAGGGTTAGGGTTCATCATTATTGAAGATATATGGGTTTTGGGGTTAGGGTTTATCACGAACCCTTAGGGTTCTTAGGGTTCATATGAACCCAGATGGTGTTGTTGTTTGAAGGTGGTGGTGCCTTGGAGCAGCCACTGGCGGAAGCGATTTCCGGATGATGGTGCCCAAGGGTAAGGCGATATCCGGTCACTGTATTTCTAGAGAGAGGGCAGAGCCTCTCTCTCTAAAAAATAACAAAGGGTTTGTTTGATGTAGAGAGGGAGAGAAAATAAAAAATGGGCTTTCAGCCTATAAATTTGTTTATATAATACCCTATATTCCAGCGTGACACTCGTAGCATGTTCCCTCGCTCCCTGCCTTTGGATCTTCATCATACGTTCACAAACTGTGTATCCACCATAACACCCAGCACTTTCCCACATTCTGCCTAGTTGGATCAGATATTTGTTTTGGGCCCAGCCCATTACTGAACGCACCCTCAAATTACTTTGGTAACAAAAAACTTACCCCCATGTACTATTGGGCCCATTTCAATTTTTGAACTTGGGCCCTTGTTGAAACAACCCCCTAATTTTGCTACGTAGTACAAATCTACAACCCCCCCCCCCCCTTGTGAATTGGGCCTAAATCCAATATCTGGATTTAGGGCCCTGTTATTTACACCCCCATGAATTACTTAGCCCAAATAAAATACACCTCCTGTGTTTTTTAATAAAAATTATATTATATTTTATATTTCATTTATTTATTTATTTATTATTGTTGCATAAATCAATATTTTTAATATTAAATATTGTTTTATATAAATTCTAAATTGTTTAAAAAAAATTATTTTCAATTCAAAATTATTTTTTTTTAAAATACTACCGCATCTTTTAGTTACATTAAAACTATTTTTTCCTCATGCATTAAAAACTACTTTTCTTATATTTTTAATATATCTAAAAAATACCTAACCAATCAAATACTAACCACTTTTTTATTAAACTAATTAACTCGGGATTTTATTTTCAAAAAGGATTATGGAGATATTTCTCATTAACTGTGAACTTAGTCTAACAAGTCCAAGATTTACAAACCCAGACTTGGTTCAAGGAGAATTTGAAATATCTTTGTAATCCATAAAAAACACCAACTAACTACGAACTACGAATTGGGACTCTGATTCCTCATAAAGGATACGTAGGCATATGACTTTAAGTTGTGGTGAGTTCCCCTAATAAAAATTAAAACCCTATTTCCTAAACCGTAAATCTAAACCTTAGTATCCTTGTGAACAAGGTACATAAGGGGTGCCTAACACCTTCCCTTCGTCTAAAAATGAGTCAACAACTTAGAATCTTTGACCAAATTAGGGTTATCTATTATGTTCCCTTCTCTAGGATAAAAATTAATGGTGGCGTTTCTCATTTTAAAACTGGTTATTACAGTACAATGTACAGTCTTTATCCTGATTTGCAGGGTAGTGGATACGATGTTGTAATGTAGTCACAAGATAATGTACTTTAATAATATTTCCACACTTCTTCCTGTTATATCTAACATCATTAGTTAGAGGCTTCAGATAGATTTTGTTGAAGCTTGATCAGAGGTCAGATATATTTCCTTCGTCACACTTAACTTCTTTGAGTCATAGGCTTCTGATATGATATAATAAAGCTTGATCAGAGTAAGATCTTCAGAGCTTGAGATATCAGAGGCGTAAAGAGTCTGAATCTTCTCATATTTCTTCTGGATATATTCTTGTAAATATATTAACTTGATAACCCAGATTCCAGATATTATTAGTTGTTTCTTCAAGAAATTCTTCTTGACTTTATCCATTTGAATTATACTATTTTGATACATAATGATGAAGCTTATTCAGAGTTCAAAATCATTCTCTTTTATCAGATTCTGCTTGCTTTTGATAGTGACAATCTTCATACTTCACCAATCTTCAGATTCTTCTGATCTCCAGATTCAACATGTGATATGCTCGGCACCTGGTGCATTTCAACTTGACTTCTTCATAGCCAAAGTTGCTTTCTAATATATCTGCAAATTGAACAACCGTTAAAGAACAAAATTTTTCTTTATACAAATGTACTTGTTATTATCAAAACTACAAGGATTAGTTGACGAACCAAACTTGTTCCAACAATCTCCCCCGTTTTTATGATGACAATATCATGTATTTTGATGCACAATTTTCCTTAGAAAAACGCACAATAGTTAAAAATGTCAGAGTTAGGTTTGTAAGCTCCCATTGAGTTTACAACTTATTAAAATTTAAAACTTCAACAAAGTAAGGTTTGCAAGCCCCCTTGAGAATAATATCGAAAATTTTGATGAATACTTCAGAGTTAGGATTACAAACCCCCCTGAGAGTAAGACCTAGAAAATTTTGATAGTTCATAAATTTTTTAATCAATATGAATGTGCATGGTTTAACCAATCTAAAAGATGCACAATAGTTTAAAACCTCAGAGTTAGGTTTGTAAGCTCCTTATGAGTTTAAACATATTAAAATTTTCAATCTTATTAGAATGAGGTTTGCAAGCTCTCTCTTTGAGAACTAGAAAATATTAATCAGAGTTAAATGTGCCAACAATCAGAGTCTATGCCAATTTAAGATTTATCAGAATGTCTTGCACATAGAAATTATTCAGAGCATATATGGATATAGAAACCAGATTTAAATTTGCTCAAATATCAGAGTTTCCACAAAATTATGTCATATGTTTGGGTTCTATTAGGAAAACATATATATCAAAATCAATACTCTTTTCTCCCCCTTTGTCATTAATAAAAAAGAATGTATAGTAAGCACATATATTGAATGAAAAGGATAAAAAAAAATTCCATTAAATAAAAAGATATAACCATTTTAAAAAAAACAAGATGAAATCTTAAATAAGACAAGTAAAGAAACTTCCAGAGTTAATCATAAAAAGAACTAATGACGTGAAGTTCCAACCACGAAGTCTTCCTAACAGGGCATTTTTCTTGGGCTTTTATAACTTCTAGAAGCTTTCAAATTTTCACCCCATGTTTTTGAAGAATGATCGTTCTTAGTTATAATTACTCCTTGTTGAAGGAAGTGTTTTAAGAGAACTCGTCTAAAAGGAATGAAGAATTTTATTCCCTCGAGAAAGGTCATGAGTGTTAGCTTCAAGTAGTCAAACATAACTTGAGGTAGATTGATCTTCAACCTTGAGTTGAGGAGAAGCAGAAGATACTTGTTGTTGCAGCGGAAAAAATTGAGATTAAGCTATTGATTAACTTAACTCGAAAAAAAAAGAGTCGCCATTGAATTTTTATTGTTTCTAAAGGAAAGGGAAAAATATCGAAAAAAACCCAATGCAAAAATAAAACAAAACAGAAATCTAGATACGGGGGTTGGTTATGGAAGGAGGAGATATTAGCACCCCTCACATCTATGGTACTCCATAGGAACCTCTTGAAAATATGTGTTATTATAAAACCAGGTTGTTTGCAAAAATATTGGGGTGATGGGAAAAGAAGAAGTTAGAGCCTTGTAGTTAATGGTAAAAATAACCACATAAGTTTTTTGATTGATTTTAAATTGAAAATACATTTCGTTGTATTCGAGTGGAAAACACAACTTACTACCCACAAGTATGAGAAAGTGACCATTTGCATCATCTTGATATGGAGAACTTTTACTTGGAATTTCTCACAAGCACGTCTCAACATTCAAGTGGAAAATATCAATCACTTCATAACATAATGTAAAAGTATAGTGGTTTGCATCACTACTAGAATAGACTAATATCCAATCTTTTCAAAAGGTTTAAAAGAAAAGTGCACTAAGGCACAAAAAGAACATTGAAGAGGTTTGTATTTTTTAGAAGTTTTGAAAAGAGTTTGAATATGCTTAAAATAATTTCGGGGTCACTTGACAAGTCAAGGTTTATTAAGAAAATGTTTTAAGTTTGAAGAAAGAAGTTTTGAAATTTGGGAGAAGTTTTTAAAATTGAAGAAGTGGGTAGGAGTTGAAGAGACTATCCTAAAGCAAGGAAATAAATGACATTAAATAAAAAATCTCATTGTAAGGTAGCCCAAGAAAAAGCTTTTGTGTGTGCAAGTGTACTAACCACAAGATAGATCAAGCCTTTGACATTGGTCAAAATGATCACTCCTTTTCCTTTAGATTATGCCACAAGATAATCAAATCACACGAGCACGCACATAAGCAGATGAATCATCAAGAACTAGCAATGGAAACAAATGAACACCAAAAGGTCAAGATGAATGCCAAGGTCATCGAGCCATAAATAGAACTCCAAGTCTTCAAGTAAAGATCAAAGTTTCTCAGAATAAGGTCGAGTCTTGCATTGAAGTTTAAAAGTCCAGATGAATCCTAAAGTATTAGATACAACCACTCAAGTAAAGGAAAGTACTAAGTCCTAGGTCCAAAGTCTAAAATACTCCTCAAGTAAAGGATAATACATAAAGTCCAATAGATCAGATAGATCAGATGAAAGTTTTTAGGATTTTTTTACTTAAATCTTCACCCGTTGCAACCTCCATGACTATACGCGAACGCCGCTGGCGATGTTCCTTCCATTATTTTTTATTATTATTTGTGTTTTCTGGTTTCCACTTGCAAGTTGATAGAAATAGAATGAGATATCGAGAGAAGAAGAAACACGTTCAGAACCGCCCTACTCCGACGCTGCACAACCGCTCGCCAGCCTCAAGCATCGCCGATTGGTTGCAGACATTCTCTCCGACTCAAACCGTCCGCGTTTCACCATTCACGGCGCACCACAGTCCCTATTCGCACCGATCAACACATAGCTCTAGACCGACCACCTCCGAAAACAACAGCCGTTCAAATCAGATCTCAACCGCAAGCCATCATTCTGCCACCGACGTTTTCAGGCACAGCTCTTCCGACAATGCGCAAGTCCCAGCCGTTCCCTCCGATTGAAGCCCGTTGTCGTCGTTCACATCTTCAACGAGGAAATCCTTCTGGTAATCATTGTTGTTGAAGTTCCTTTTTATTGTTTTTTCTGATTTCAATGATTATGGTTGTTTTGTGTGAGAAGCTTTTGATTTTGTTTCTTTATTGTTTATGTTTTCTATTGTATTTTAGCCACGTGTCGGATTCTGTTGATTGATGGAATATTGAAAAGTCAAAATAACTTACTAACTCTTTTAAGAAAAATGCATCAGGAATGTGAAAAGAGTGGGGGCGGCCGTTCATCCTCATTTATCTTTATTTTGATTTTTTTATTATATATTTATAGTTTAAATATATTTTTAGTCTCTATCAATATATCAAATTTTATTTTTAGTTTTTATTAAAATAATAGTAAATTTTAGTTTCTAAAAAATTATTATATACGTAGTTTTAATTCCTGTTGTTAAATTAATGTATATTTTTGAATGATTATTTTGTAGACATGTTTAGAACGTTACAAAAAGTTCTTGAAAAAAAAAGAAATTCAAAATTTGATTTCTAAGTTGAGATTTTTATTATTTTTATCAATATCTTTTAAATTTAAAAAAAAAATCATATTTAATTCTTTTTATTTTAAAAAATTTTAAAATTTGATAAAGAAATATTTTATAGTATTCTAAACATGTATTGAAAATATTATTAAAAAATTTAAAAGTTTAAAGATAATTAAACAGTTTTTAAAATTTTAGAAAATAACAGGGACTAAAATTGGATAAACAAAATTCTTTTAAAGACCAAAACTTATTATTTTTTTAATAGAGATTAAAAATGAAATTTGAGATATTTATAAGGTCGAAAACATATTTAATCCTATATTTACTTATCAAATAATTTTAGAATCAGGGTTATATGATTTAGGTTGTGGGTTTTAGTAAACTCTACCATTTGCACCCCATGGATTGTAATTTGTATATTTTAGGTTAAACTATCCGGTTAGTTTTAGGTTTTTCATTATTACTAACAAAATATTTAAAATAATTAAAAAAATAATAATAATAAAAAATATGAGTAAATGAAAAATTCATCTTTTTTCAATCTTAATTAAATAATTTAGATTATTAGGTCAAGTACTTAGGTTATGCACGTTTTAATTTCTTTCGATTAAATTCAGATAAATCCATGTACACTAATCAAACTAATTAATTATATATTTTAAATAATAGGATAGGTGGATTTTAAATCCACTGTATCTTCAAATAATTGATTGGTTGACTTAATATCTTATTGAATAATTATTAAAATCAAAACGTTAAAACTAATCAACAAATTAAATAATTTTTTTTGCCTAGCGCGAAGTAATTTCAATGAAGATTGACTCTTCTTCAATCCACCGAATTAAAATATCAAAATAGCTAACCAATCTAAATTATTTTTCCACTAACATAATAAAATCCAAGATTATTTTTGAAAAAGGATTGAGAAAAATTACTATCAAAATTAACTGTGAACTGCGTCTGCAATCACTCTTTTACAAAATCCAAACAAGTTTCAAGGATAACTCGAAAGCAATTCTACGTAATCCTATAAAAAAACTAACCAAACAATATGAACTACGAAATTGGACTCTGATTCTTCGTAAGGAGATACGTAGGCACATGGTTAAAACCAAGGCGAGTTCATAACTAAAAAACTAAAATTCTTTTTTTTAAACATATAGAAACATTAAATAGGATATTCCTGATTTACCCCGAAACCTAAAAGTGGAGCCCCTTGAGAACAAGGGAGATGAAGGGTGCCTAACACCTTCTCTTCGTCTAACTGACTCACGAACTTAGAATCTCTAACAATTAGGGTAACCCATTATTCTCCCGTCCTTAGGATAAAAATTAATGGTGGCGACTCTTTATTTTTTGCTGGTTACGACAATTAACACGTCTGCTTCGTATCTATTCACGCATCTAAGCAAGACCATGTCGTAACTCCTTTTGTATAACACACTTTCATTGAGAAAGAAATTGTACGCCAATCATCTCAAGGTCTTATTATCTTTATTGTATGCTACAATTGGGTATTCTTGATTCTGGAGGAAACACTTGACATCATGATACCACGGTTTATTATCTATTTCTTCTACTGCAAACACATGAGAAAGTATATCCAGACGTCTGATCATAATTTGAGGTACCTCATTGCATAAATTTACCCGGTACATGGAGTAAAAGGTAGCTAAAGCATCTGCCATTTGATTCTCCTTCCGAGGTATATGATGGAAATTGACTTTATTAAAGAAAGGAAACAACCTCCTAGTGTAATCTTTGTATGGGATCAAACTCGGATGAGGAGTTTCCCATTCACCTTTGATCTAATTGATAACTAATACCGAATCTCTAAAAACATCGAGGATCTTAATCCTGATATCAATAGCTTCTGTGAGGCCTAGGATACACGCTTCATATTTAGCCATATTATTCGTACAATCAAAACATATCTTGTGGTAAAAGGAATATGATAACCTCGATGAGTGATTATAATTTCCCCAACTCTATAACCATATGCATTAGAGGCTCCGTCAAATACTAGAACCCATCGGGATCAAAGCTCTGGTCCTTCCTCAGGACCTGGTTCATCACAATCTTTAACTCTAATGGCCATAACATCTTCACCGGGAAAGTCAAACTTGATGGGTTGATACTCTTCAATTGATTGATGAGTCAAATGATCTGCCAATATACTTCATTTAATAGCTTTCTAAGTACGATATTAAATTTCATATTCTGATAGCAACATCTGCCCATGGGAAATTCTTCCTGTTAATACAGACTTTTCAAAGATATACTTGATAGGATCCATTTTAGATATCAACTAAGTAGTATGATTCAACATATACTACCGGAGACGTTGGGCAGCCCATACCAAAGCACAATAAGTTTTCTTAAGCAAAGAATAATGGGATTCGTAATCCGTGAATTTCTTACTCAGGTAATAAACACCATGTTCTTTCCTACCTGTCTCGTCCTGCTGTTTGAGGACACAACCCATTGATCCTTCCAAGACTCTGAAATACATAATCAAAGGCTTCTCTTCCACTGGCGGGATCAAAATAGAAGGCTTAAGCAAGTAATCTTTAATATTATCGAAAGCCTTTTGAAAATCTTCAATCCATACAATACCTTGATTTTTAAAAAGCAATTTGAAGATTGGTTCACTAGTGGCAGTCACGTGAGAGATGAACTTGGAGATATAATTCAAATGCCCGAGAAATCCTCTAACTTACTTTTCTGTTCTAGGTGCATGCATGTCTCGAATGACCCTGTCCTTATCTGGATCCACTTCTATACGTTTCTGGATGACAATAAAACCCAAAAGCTTCTCGGAATGAACATTGAGAATGCATTTGTTTGGATTCAAATGGAGTATATACTTCCTTAAACCCTAGAAAAATTTCAACAAGTATTCTACATAATCTTCTTCATTCTTAGACTTGACAATCATATCATCAACATATACCTCGATTTCATTATGCATCATATCATGGAACAGGATAGTCATAACCATCTGGTATGTAGCAATAACTTTATTCAAGAACATCACTCTGTAACAGAATGTTCCCCAAGGGGTGATAAACAATGTTTTTTCCATATCCTCAGGTGCCATCTTAATTTGATTATACCCGAAAAACCATCCATAAAGGAGAAAGCATTGAACTTAGTTGTATTATCTACCAACATATCAATATGTTGAAGAGGAAAATCATCTTTTGGACTGACTTTACTTAGATCTCTATAGTCTGCACACATTATAACATTTCCTTCTTTCTTCAAAATTGGCACAATATTGGCCATCCATTGAGGATAAATAGATGTTACAAGGAAACTGGCATCAATCTGTTTCTGCACTTCTTCTCTAATCTTGACAGCCATATCAGGATGAGTTCTTCTTAACTTTTGCTTCACTGGAGGACATTCTAGTTTAGACAACAGTCTATGCTCTACAATATTAGTATCTAATCCTAGCATATATTGATACGACCAAGCAAATACATCGACCTACTCTTTCAACAACTCTACCAACCTTTTTTTTGACATCTTCACCAAGAATTGCCCCAATCTTGACTTCTCTCTTGTTCTCTTCAGAACCCAAGTTGATGAGTTCGACAAACTCTTTATATGGTTGAATATTCTTCTCCTCGTGCTCAAGCAACCAAGTAATTTCTTCTAGAATCTCACAGTCTTCCTGACTCTCTTCTTCTTCTTAGTATATGGGGAATTCAAAGTTGGGAGATGGCACAGGTTCTTTGTTTTTGATGGGTTTGTTGTTTATTAATTTTTACACGTGAACAACACTAGGAACATCCACAATAGTCCAATTATTAGCAACCAAACTAGTCTCTCAGTGCGTCACAAAGCAATGAAATTCTAGATTGTAATCATCTTCGATGACGACAGCAACAACTTGATCTCCAAGGTGGATAAAAAGGAACTGTGGAGCACTTCATGGATAGGTCTGATAATAACTTCATGCTTTAATTCTCTTCAAGTCATTTATGGAAAGAACCCTAAATTAACTTTGCTCTTATTCTTTGGAAGCTTAATAATGTTTCCCTAACCTTCTGATTGACTGCTCTTCATTACCTTTTGTGCATCTTTCAACGAAGCAATATATGCACCACTCTTCTTCACATGAACAACATTAACAATATCAAGGGCTTAGAACCGAGTCCTTACAGCCTCCTCATGTGCATCTATATATCGGAAAGAAGAAAGGTGACTGACTAGCAGAGCTTATTCACCGTAAATGATTACCAGCTTTTCATTCTTAACAAACTTGAGTATTAGGTGAAGAGTTGACATTTCTTCCCCAACATCGTTTATCCAAGGTCTTCCCAATAAACAACTATATGTCAGGTAAATGTCCATCACCTAAAAAGTGACTTGGAATTGTGTCCCTATCAACATTGGGAGATATACTTCACCGATTAATCCTCTTGGAACCATCAAAAGCTTTGAATACAACCCCGTTGCGTCTCA